CTTTTTTTTTTTTTTTTTTTTTGGTTGTTGTTGTTGTTTTTGTTTGTTTGTTTAATAAAATGGAATATATGCCTAATTTTAGAAATTAAATCATACAGGGCTGGGGATTCAACTCAGTGGTCTCACAAGCACAAGGTCCCGAGTTCTATCACCAATACCAAAAAACGAAGAGAAAAAGAAATTAAATCATACAGAATTTAAAGGGAAAGGTTGATTTCCATGCTGCCCAACCTTATTCCCCATCCCATTCTTCTCCCCGGGTGGATGGTGCTGTTGGAGATAGGGTGTGCATTTTTAGCAGACCTTTTTCCTGTGTATTACATACAGGTATATGTGTAATATAGCTGTTTGTGTTTTTAATCATTGGGACAGTACTCTACATGTTTTGTTTTTGTTTTATTTTTTTTAACTTACATCTTTAAAAAGCTTTTAGGGCCGTGGATTTAGCTCAGTGGTTCCGCCGCCTGCCTCGCAAGTGCAAGGACCCGAGTTTGATCCCCGGTACCAAAAAAAATAAATAAAAATAAAAAGCTTTCATTCTTTCTCACACACTCATTATGTATCTGCCTTATCTTTTTTTATTTTTAGATCTTTTTCTGTTTTTTACTTTTTTATTATGAACATTTTTAAATGTACATAAAAGAAAGTAACATAATAGAAGCCCCTGTCTACAGATATAGGCGCTTCAACACTAATCATCAACACCTTTACCTCCCACTTCCTGCATCTCCCCATTGGATTTTTTAAAAACTCCTGTCACCTCATCCATGAACATTTCGGTACCAGAAACACTCTCTTCCTTAAACACAACCATGATACAGTAATCACACTTGGAAAAATGTCTTAACAGTGTTGTTATCCAGTCAGTATTCAAATTTACAATTTCAAATTCAGTTTGTCCCATGTGTCTTTTTATATCTGATTAGAATCCAGCTCCAAAGTCGCATATTCCAGTTAACTGATGTGACTCCAAAGTTTATAACACCTTCCCTGCCCTTTTCATTTATTTACTGAGAAACAGGATGATCTGTCTCAGAGGGTCTTTCTGCATTCTGGGTTTTGCTGTATCCTATAGCATTATTAACAGTGTCCTCTGTCACCTTTGTTTCCAATAAACCAGGTCATTCTTTATAGAGAAGAAATGCATTATATTGCACCCAAAAGATTTGGAAATACAGGCAAAAAACAAATTTACATATTTCTATCTGCCTGTACATTGTTTTTTGGTTTTGGGATTTTGGGTTGTCTTTTGGGGGGTACCAGGGATTGAACTGGGGACCTTGGGCTTGCAAGGCACGTGGTGGTACCACTGAGCTAAATACCTGGCCCTGTTTGCTTCTTTTAAGACGGTCTCACCATGTAGTTCAGGCTGGTCTTGAACTTACTGTATAGCCCAGGCCAGCCTTGAGCTCACAGTGATCCTCCTGCCTCAGCTTCTCAAGTGTATGTGTGCACCACCACACCCAGCACTTACTTCATGTACTCAAACACTCCACTGAGTTGAGGAAATAAAAGTGTGGTACCTTGCAGGACACTTTCCACACATTAAAACATTTGTGAATCGCTCTGATATTTATAAGATACTGACATCATTTCCGCAGTAAGAAGTAAAACTTGTTAATCCCAATTTTATAGGTAAGGAAACTTGAGATTGTTTCCCAGAGCCACATCCAGTAGATATGCGCAGCTTTGCCTGCAGGCCTCCTGATCCTGTTGTCCAAACACCTTTTCTCCTCCGCTGCATTGCTACTTGTCTGGAAGCAATTTCTAAACAATTTCTGGCACTGAAATTCTTTGCACTTTAACCTTCTTTCTCATACTTCTTCATACTTCCTTTCTCCTTCCTTCTATTCTTTTTTTTTTTTCTTTCTCCACACCTAGGATTAAAGGTGTGCTACATACATCATGACCAGCTGTATCCCTTTAATCATTTTCATCATCTCCATTTCTCAGTTTACCTTTGGGTCCTCATTTCTGTCTGGGCAGAACCTCATATCAGGTTGTCTTTATCAACTTTAGTTCATTTTCAGCATTGTACTATGTGAAGCTCGCCTATCTGTGTATGTCTGCCTGCCCCCTTGGATGCCCAGGATATTTAGTTATTGGATACTAGAATAGCAGTGTAATGGGGGGAGCAGTACCTTACGTTCAAATTAGGGAATAAAACAGTAGAAGTAAGGTGCTAATTGTGGAACCTCCTTGGGAATAAAAAGCAGGTTGAGATTTTTTATAGAGACTGGTCACCTTGTCTTAGCAGAAAAGCTGGACATTTAAGATCTGAACAAACTGGGCATGATCATGCAAGCCTGTAATCTCAAATTCAAGCCCAACGTGGGCAACTTAGTAACTAATTAATAACTAAACAAGACCCTGTCTCAAAATTAAAGGGATGGGGTGAGGCTCTGGCTTCAATGGTGGGGGGGCTGTCCATATTGTGACATCAGTATGAAAGATGAGATACAGCCAAAGTGTCAGGGGAGAGAAAAAATTGTTCATACTCCCTTCCATAAGGAAAAGTGAAAACTAACCCAGACCTGGTGGCATAGGCCTGTAATCCTAGCACTCTGGGAAGCTGAAGCAGAAGGATCTCAAATTCAAGCCCAGCCTGGGCAACTTTGGAGATTATGTCTCAAAAACAAACAAACAAAAAAAAAAATGGCAAGAGATGTAGCTCAGTGGGCAAGCCCTGGGTTCAATTCCTAGTACCAAAACAAGACAGAAAGGGTGGGGTGGGGGAGACTAGCTCTGTCGCCTAGGGGAGAGTGGCTACCACATCTGCACGGATCCATGTTAACGCGCATGCCCTTGTCTGGCATAGGAACCTAGTTAACATCCTGGAGTCTGATCAGATGTGTACATTTTCCTCCCTGGAAGGAAGCCTCCATAGAACTGGGAAGCAAAGGCGATGTTCTCCTGGACCTCGGTGAACAGGCCAGCTGGGTGGGGGCATTAAGAGTCAGACGTGGCACGTGCCAGTTGGAGAGAGAGACCCCAGTAAGCCGCGCTCCACCGCTGGATTCCCCTCCCTTCGGCAGCGTTAGCATATTCCCTTAGCTCAGGACTGCTCTTGGCACCATCTGCCGGTAGATGCCCGGAAACTCAGAGGCTGCAGCTGTGGTTGGGTGCCTGGGGTTGGTTCTGACTTTCTGCGACTGAGGCGGCGTCCATGGCAACCGCTGCCACGAGGATTTCCACTGTTTGCCGCCAGCCAGTGGCAACTAACATAACAGATGCAGCTTGCAGCTTCTGAGCCCCGCGCCCATTGGACAGACTCGGGTCCTAGCCGCAGGGGGTGGGGCTGACACTGAGTGGAGCTGTCTCAGCTGCCTCCAGCAAAGACAGCGAGTGTGTTGTTGGTATAGGTGCAAATTGCTCAGCGGACTGGAGGAGAGAGGAAATGCTGGTCACAGCAGTCACCTGAGCACTTCATAGAGGGGACCCTCATGCTCCTCCCACCCGCGCTACCTTTGTATGTGTGTTCTGAGGCCTGAACAGGAGACCTCTGCCAGCCAATCCTTTAGCTGTCCTTGTTCCACTCACTGGGTTTACTGCTGTGTAAAACCAGGACACTTAGCCTGACCACTTCAAGTACTCAGGGAGTGGCTGACATGGAAAAGGCTAAATGACCCACGTTTAGGCAACTGGGCAACCAGAGCTTCCAGTTAACTCTCTCCCTTTTTATCCCCAGCCCCCTCCCCCAGATTAATTTTCTTCTGTAAAATATCTGTGACTTACAAATGTTGAATAAATTAATATGTGAGGTATGCAAAATGAAATCACAAAATGCAGAAGTATGTGAGGAGAGTATATGTGTACATATACAAGCAGAGCTTTCTGGTTTTTGTTTTGAGACAGGATCTCTCTAAATGGCTTAGGCTGGCCTCTACCCTCTACCTTGCACCTCAGCTTTCCAGATAGCAGGAATTACAGACAAGCACCATTGTAAGCCTCAGACAATTTTTGTTTTACAAAACTATACCATTGTTTCGGTGGGTTTTGTTTTTGAGACAGATTTTCACCATGTAACTCAGGCAGGCCCTGAACTCACTATCTGGACCAGGCTGGCCTCGAACTTGCATCGATTCTCCTACCTCTGGGATTGCAGGCATGTACCACCATGCCCAGCTGTATCTTATTTTCTGGTTCTTTTCTCTACCAAGCAATAATACGTCCTGAACTGTCAGTAAATACCCTACATCATAATTCTTTCTAGGACCCATTTTCCATCATATTTTTACCACTTCCTCAGTTGTTGGGTACTAGGAGTAGCAGTTTTTGATGGCTCTTTTTTTTTCTTTTTTTTTTTTTAATAGAACTATGTAGTCCAGGGCTGGGGATTTAGCTCAGCAGTTCAGTGGCCTGCCTCACAAGCGCAAGGACCCGAGTTCGATCCCCGGTACCAAAAAAAATAGAACAGAACTATATAGTCCAAGCTGGCCTTAAATTCATAAAGCCCAGGCTGGCCTTGAACTTGCAACAGTTCTCCTGCCTCTGCTTCCCAAGTTCCTTTGTGCTGGGTTTTTTTTTTTTTTTTTTTTTTT